TGTCTTTTTGAGACAGGGTCTGGCTATGCAGCTCAGGCTGGCCTTGAGCTCACTTTGTAGCCCAGGCTGGTCTCGAACTCACAACGATCCTCCTGCCTCAGCCTCCCAAGTGCTGGGATCACAGGCGTGCAGTTCCAGGTCCTGCTCCGTGACAGCTGCTTTGTCCTCCTGGCTCTGCGTCTGGTTGCACTCCTCACTGCTGTCTAATGAGACGAGCGGCTCCTCTCTTTGCCCCTCTTCTGCAGAAAGGCGCGACGGCTCTTGCCGGGCAGTGCTCTCGCGCTCCTTCTCAGACACCTTCTCCGCACCGCCTGGACGCTGTCTAAGGCCGCGGAGAGCTCGCTCGAGAGGCCTGCTCCCGGAGCTTCTGCTGACGCTGCTCTGGAGCAGATGAGGGAAGGGGCAAGGACCCTGATCCCTTCAGCAATTCCCTCGCTCCCTGGCGAGCTGGCTGGTGGAGTGCTGTAACTTGCAGGTTCTCCTGCAGCTTGCTTGAGTCCTGCTTCGCCCCTGGGTGGCCCATCGGATTCTCTGTGTGAGCGGTGGCTCGGCTGATCCCCGCGTGCTGCCGCTGCAGGTCTGGATGACGCTGTTGGAGCCCCGGAGCTGGGCCCCGCAGGCCCTGGGCTCCGGTGCACGTCTAAGGTCCCCAGGACGCGGTGAGGAGCTGAGACGGCTCGCCCTGCCAGGCGCTCCTGCGGGAAGCAGCCCGCAGCCCGGGCCCACAGGCCGACCCGAGCGGGACGAGCCAGACTTTTAACGCGGAAAGTCAGTTTATGGATTTGTAGGTTACTCAAGCTGGTCTGCGTCACCCTCCCTCATAAAGGAGAGCACAAAGCGGAAGAGCTCCTGAGCGGGTCATCAGCTGTGGGAGGACTGTGTGTGTCCCTAATCCCCATCGCTGTGAGGGTACCGTCACAGCGGCACTCCCTCTGTAGCGCACATGTTCTGGCCTCTCAGCAGATGCTTGAAACATTACTCTATGCGGACAAGGACTTGGATGCAGGCAATGAGATTTCGTTAGAGTTGCTTCGAAAATCAGCGTGGTTACTGAATATACCGGGCAGGGGGGCTGGGGATTTAGCTCAGCGGCAAAAGCGCCTGCCTGGCAAGCGCAAGGTCGTGAGTTCGGTTCCCGGTACCGGAGAAAAACCAAAAAAAAAAAAAAAAAAAAAAAGAATATACCGGGCAGGTAGTCCATTCTGGTTATGCTGGGCAGGGGAACAGCCTGGGCAGCAGAGAACTGAACAGCACGAGATTTTATCACACTGCTCTAACGGCATGGTGTTTAAAGGTTGTGGACAAGCAATGTAAGGAGCTTTTTATTTATCAGGCCACTTCTGTGAAACTGCAGAAAGCAAAAGCTGAGAGAAGGGCACACCTGTATTGTATAACGCAGGGGCTGTCACTGCTCTCCAAGCGACCCCCTTGTCGGGATCTGTTTAAGTTTTAGCAGATTCTATTTCAGGCTAAGAGGCCCTAAAAGTTTTCAAAACATATATTGCATGACTTTTACAGCATTCAAAGTCATTAATGCACACTATTTTGAAGATATTATAATGTGGTGTTTTGTCTTTTTGAGACAGGGTCTCACTATGGAGTTCAGGCTGGCCTTGAGCTCACTTTGTAGCCCAGGCTGGTCTCAAACTCGCAACGATCCTCCTGCCTCAGCCTCCCAAGTGCTGGGATAACAGGCATGTGCCACCACACCTGGCCTTATATTATAGTCTAATAGATAATATTTTGCATACATTCTGCCCAAATAGTCCCAAATATGAAAAGTCCAAAATCAGGAAACTTTTCAGGTTGCAAACATGTTGGAGAAGGAATACACAATATATAAAATGTCTTGTAAATTATTTTTATAACTTTATATAAAATGAACATCACCTATGAGGCTTGGACAGAATTAATGACAGTTTTATAGTGCATGCTAACATGCCCATGATACTCCCACGAGGGAAGAAATCAACACCTGCTGGGTGGACGGTAAACTCTGTGGCTCCCGTTTGACTTTGTTTATGGAGCACATTTCCTGCAGAAACAGATGAGACCCACTATCTGCCACTTTAACAATAGTTTATAAGGTCACTGATTCTGCAGAGTCACTGAGGCCTCCTGATGGGTTGAAATTGTAGTTGAGTCAACAGAAGAAAAATCATTGAACACATACTCAGCAAGGCCAAATATGCCTGAGGCTCTGTTCTGGGCATGGAGTCTTTGACAGACACTGGAGCCTGACTCGCAAACTTGCATCAGTGGTGGTGCCTGCTGGGCCCAGCGCGGATGGCAGAGCCGGTTCTCATCATCATGCGTCACTTTTCATCCCCTGATGGCCGTGACCGCCGCCGGAAGGCCTGACACAACTTCAGCATTTCCTCTGGGACCCAGAGCCAACAGCTTGCTCTCTAACTTTGCCAGACCAGAACAAACTCTTGCTTTA